CAGAATTCCCCAGGCTGGTTGAAGTCCACACAGCTTAAAGTGGCCAAGGTCGAGAAACACTGGTCTAGTGCCTGGTTATAGCCTTTCCAGGATTTATCATTTCCTTCTCTTAGGCAAAGCCCCCAGTGGGTGGGGTAGGGTAACATTCTCTCAGGGCCCAGCCTGTTTTCCTATACAACCCATCCAGCGGCTAGAATTGCAAGATAGGCTGCAACTGGACACGGAAGCTCCACGTGGCCATCAGGACAAACCGCTTTCTTTTTGGGGGTGGGGGGGCAGGTATCCATGCTCAACAAGTATTCGGAGGCCATCCGTGGCAACCTGACAAAAATCATGCGCCTGAAGATTGTGGCGCTGGTGACAGTGGAAGTCCATGCCCGGGATGTCATTGAGAAGCTGTACAAGAGCAGCTTACTGGATGTGACCTCCTTTGAATGGCTGAGCCAGCTTCGCCTCTACTGGGAGAAGGTGGGGAGCCTCCTGCGTTGCTCAGAGATGGGGGGGAGTGTGCGTGAGTGTCTGTGCACGCACATATGCGTGTAAGGCACCCTGTGGCAGCGGTGAGGTCCTGCTGCTGCCCTCTGCTGGAGAGAAGGGGCTGCGCTCTGGACTGCCGTCCCCACATCCATCCTTGCGTTTCACTTCCCCCTGCTGTCCGTGCGCGGGACTGCAGGAGCCTGGGCGGCTGGGGGAGGTGTGAGCCAGGCCCCAAACGACTAGCTCTCACCTCTGCCAGCAGGCAGGCCCCCCACAGTCCCTGCTTCCTGCGCACGGGCACTTCCTGCGCACTCCGGATCTTGTGTCCTCGGACCTCTAGGAGGGGCCCTGAGGCCGTTGCCACCCCATCTGTGCCCCCCAGATGGTCTTGGGCAGCCCCTCCCTGCCAAGCAAAAGGGGTGCGAGGCTCTGGTTGATCCCCACCATTGGCCAGGGCAGGGTCGTGCCCCAAGGCCAGAGCGAAGGGAAGCAGGCGGGTCGTAGGAGTTCAGGTGAGCTGTGACGTTTTGCTCATCTTCGAAACAGCCTTGGCTCAGTCCTTTATGAACTCCAGCCCCAATTCACTGTAGCGTCG